GTTACCGCGCGATCTGTTCAACGCGGCTTTCGTCTCGTGCTGGACCGAACTCGCGGAAAACTACCGGACGGAACTGATACAGACTCTGCATCAGGCGTTGATGGTCCCCGATCTGCCCACCGAAGTGACACAGACAATTCTGAACTTGGCTGAATTCATGGAGCACATTGACAAGGGTCCTCTGCCATTAGACAATAAGATTCTCGGTGATACGGCGATGCATTGTCGTGCGTATGCCAAGGCGTTACATTACAAGGAGGACGAATTCCACAAGAGCAGGAACAGCAGCGTGTTCGAGTCCCTGATTTCCATCAATAACAAACTTCAACAGAAAGAGGCGGCCGAAGGTCTGTTGGAATATGTAATGAATCACAACCAGCAAGATCTCAAGGTCCAGATACGTTGGTACGAGAAGCTTCACAACTGGGATAAAGCGTTGCAGCTATATCAGGAACGTCTGGAGAGCGATTCCGCAGATGTGGAGTCTACTTTGGGAGAGATGCGTTGTATGGAGGCTCTCGGAGAATGGGGACAATTGCATGAGGTTGCTACAAAACAATGGACGAATCAGACCGACGATACCAAGCAAAGAATGTCGAGAATGGCGGCAGCTGCAGCGTGGGGTTTGGGTCAATGGGAAAGTATGCAGAAGTACGTTTCGTTGATACCGAAGGATACCCAAGACGGAGCGTTTTACAGAGCGGTACTGGCGATCCACGATGAACAGTACAACGTCGCGCATCAGTTTATCGATAGTGCCAGGGATCTGTTAGACACTGAACTGACTGCCATGGCTGGTGAGAGCTATCAACGGGCGTACAACGCCATGGTGGAAGTGCAAAAATTGGCCGAGTTAGAAGAAGTGATCCAGTTTAAGCTGGTGCCCGAACGTAGAGCGGCCATCAAGGCCATGTGGTGGGAGAGGCTTCAGGGTGGTCAAAAGATTGTTGAAGACTGGCAGAAGATCATACAGGTACACACGCTGGTAGTCTCACCCCACGACGACATGTACACGTGGCTTAAATATGCCAGTCTCTGCCGGAAGAGCGGTAGTTTGATGCTGTGTCACAAAACGTTGGTGATGCTGATGGGCGCAGATCCATCCCTGATTCCAGATCAGCCGCTGCCGACCACTCATCCCCAGGTGACCTTCGCTTATTGCAAGCACTTGTGGGTTGCGAATAAACGCGAGGAGGCTTACAATCAGCTGCAGCGATTTGTGCAGACCTACTTGCAGCCGACAACAGCGGCAATAATTAATCAAGAGGACGAGAAGCAGTATGAAAGCAAAAAGAGATTGCTCGCCAGGTGTTACCTTAAGCTCGGCGAGTGGCTGGAGTCCTTGCAGGGTATAAACGAACATTCTATTCCCGCGGTATTATCTTATTATGCCGCAGCGACGGAGCATGATCCCACATGGTATAAAGCTTGGCATGCCTTCGCTTACACCAATTACGAGACCGTTTTGTTTTACAAGCATCAGCAAGGTAGTGATACTGCTCCTACGGAGGCTGCATCGGGCAACGGAGCGCGCAATAATCTCTCCAGCTCACAATATATATCTCAATTTACTGTCCCAGCTGTGGAGGGATTTTTCAGGTCCATCAACTTGTCGGATGGTAACTCCCTGCAAGACACCCTCCGTCTGCTAACACTCTGGTTCGATTACGGTCAGTGGCCAGAGGTGTATGACGCTGTGGTCGAAGGCATAAGATTAATAGAGATAAATACTTGGCTGCAAGTGATTCCACAACTCATAGCCAGAATCGACACTCCTAGAGCGCTAGTCGGTCGATGCATACATCATCTTCTTATAGATATAGGAAAAACGCATCCTCAGGCTTTGGTTTATCCGTTAACAGTGGCTTCAAAGAGCGCTAGCCACGCGAGGAAGACCGCAGCTAACAAAATCCTGAAGAGTATGTGTGAGCATAGTCCGACATTGGTCCAGCAAGCCATGATGGCGAGCGATGAGCTCATCAGAGTTGCGATTTTATGGCACGAACTGTGGCACGAGGGCTTAGAAGAGGCTAGTAGATTATATTTTGGGGAGAGGAACGTTAGAGGCATGTTTGACACTCTAGAACCTTTACACGCCATGCTCGAAAGAGGGCCGCAAACTCTAAAAGAGACGTCCTTCAATCAAGCTTACGGAAGGGATTTAATAGAAGCACAGGAATGGTGTAACAGATATAAAACATCTCGGAACGTGAGAGATTTGAATCAAGCTTGGGATTTGTATTATCACGTATTCCGGAGAATATCCCGACAATTGCCACAACTAACCAGTTTGGAATTACAATATGTCAGTCCGAAATTGCTCATTTGCAGAGATTTGGAATTGGCTGTTCCGGGAAGCTATAGCCCTGGCCAACCTATCGTGAGAATAGCAAGCATTCATAGCTCTATGCAGGTGATAACTAGCAAACAGAGACCGAGAAAGTTGTGCATTAAAGGTTAGTTATTATTTTTTAAAAGTAAATATTTCGATATAAAAAACATGCTGATAATATTGATTTGCTTTAATACCTATGTATTTTGTAGGCAGTAACGGTAAGGATTATATGTTTCTATTGAAAGGTCATGAGGATCTGAGACAAGATGAAAGGGTAATGCAGTTATTTGGTTTAGTGAACACTCTCTTGTTACATGATCCAGATACTTTCCGAAGAAACCTTACTATTCAAGTAAGAGAGTTTCGGCATTTTACGCATTTATAATATTATAATTGTTAAAGAAATATGTGAATAATATTGTGACTTTATGTTTAGAGATACGCTGTGATTCCATTATCCACGAACAGTGGTCTTATCGGTTGGGTACCGCATTGTGATACGCTTCATACGCTTATTAGGGACTACAGAGAGAAGAAGAAAATATTATTGAATATCGAGCACAGGATAATGTTACGAGTGAGGGGTCTTTATAAATTTTTATATTAAGAAATTTGTCTAGTATAGTACATTGTAAAATATATGAAAATGTAAATTTTCTGTTTTCTTATATTTAAATTAATACGATGTAGATTTCCAAAATGAGTTATTCACCTCGTATATTCCTTCACTTACAATTTTCAAATTAACCTCGTATAAAAGGCATCAGGTCGAACCGTTTATTACGAGTTGATCGCTCTTGGAGCCGTACGTTGCCTTCTTATAATATTATTTTATGTTTTTTTTTTCTTTTTTAGATGGCACCTGACTATGATCATCTCATACTCATGCAAAAAGTTGAAGTGTTTGAGCACGCACTCGAGCATACCCACGGCGACGACCTAGCGCGACTTTTGTGGCTGAAATCACCGTCGAGCGAAGTATGGTTTGATCGTAGAACGAACTATACACGCTCTCTGGCTGTGATGTCTATGGTGGGATACATACTCGGTCTTGGTGATCGTCATCCGTCTAACTTGATGCTCGACCGTCTCAGTGGTAAGATATTGCACATCGACTTCGGAGATTGCTTCGAGGTGGCGATGACACGTGAAAAGTTCCCGGAGAAGATACCGTTCCGTTTGACGCGAATGTTGATCAATGCGATGGAGGTGACCGGAATCGAGGGAACGTATAGAAGGACTTGCGAGTCCGTGATGTCCGTGCTACATCGAAACAAGGATAGTCTAATGGCGGTCCTGGAGGCATTTGTTTATGACCCTCTCCTTAATTGGAGATTAATGGACAATACCGTGCCCAAGGGCAAACGATCGGACGCTCAAGGCATGAGTGCCAGCAGCAGTCAGGAACACGGCGATATGCTCGATTCTCTTACCGCTACATTACCAAAGAAGGGTGTGCCGTGTAGCATTGAAAATGGAGGTAATTGCATTATTAAGTCATTTCAACTTGACATCGTCACCTTGCTTGTAAATTAATTGTTTTTATATATAGTTTTACATATATATATACACACGCGCGCGCGTGTGTGTATTATATATAAAGATATTAATAAAAATTCATCAAACGTAATAAAAAATTTAAAAAACTTAAAGTTAAAAAATAATTTATATAAAAAAAATCACTTAACTTTATTATCGTGACATCTACAGCCTGCGCTTTTGCAATGTCCGTAGCTGATAATAATCAACCGGAAGCATTGAACAAGAAAGCCTTGACGATCATAACGAGAGTCAGAGACAAATTAACAGGGCGTGACTTTTCGCATGAAGAAACTCTCAGTGTGCGACAACAAGTCGATCTGTTGATCCAGCAAGCTACAAATAATGAAAATCTTTGCCAATGTTATATTGGATGGTACGTAATAATTTATAACTAGAAAATTTCGGGCACGTTACCTATTTATTTTTATCATTTACAATCTATATATCTTTTTTCATATTATATATATAGATATATCAACAACTTACTTAATATTTGTTCTGATATTACAAGAAACGATGGTATATAAATTATATTAAAAAATATGAGCATCGATCTCATTGTTGTATACCATTACAGGTGTCCGTTTTGGTAAACGATGAGGATGGACTTTACTCATTAAAGATGAATCCTCGTAAGTGTGCAATCGCCTGCTTTTGCATTTATAACTTTTACGAAATTATTAATCATATTCAAGATTTTATGATAGTCTCGTATCGTGTGTGTGCGCGCGCGCGCGCGTGCGCGTGCGTGCGTGCGTGCGCGCGTGTGTGTGTGTGTGTGTGTGTGTGTGTGTGTGTGTGTGTGTGTGTGTGTGTGTGCGCGTGCGCGCGTGTGTGTGTGTGTGTGTGTGTGTGTGTGCGCGTGCGCGCGTGTGTGTGTGTGTGTGTGTGTGTGTGTGCGCGTGCGCGCGTGTGTGTGTGTGTGTGTGTGTGTGTGTGCGCGTGCGCGCGTGTGTGTGTGTGTGTGTGTGTGTGTGTGCGCGTGCGCGCGTGTGTGTGTGTGTGTGTGTGTGTGTGTGCGCGTGCGCGCGTGTGTGTGTGTGTGTGTGTGTGTGTGTGCGCGTGCGCGCGTGTGTGTGTGTGTGTGTGTGTGTGTGTGCGCGTGCGCGCGTGTGTGTGTGTGTGTGTGTGTGTGTGTGCGCGTGCGCGCGTGTGTGTGTGTGTGTGTGTGTGTGTGTGTTACACATCACACATTATCTATTAACTCGTGGTTACTTTACACAATAGCTACTCCATTACTCATATACATATATCACATCAGTGTAAATAATACTTGTGCATCGTCGATCTTAATTTCATTGAAATAAAGTCTCATGTTGATATGCCGAATCATATGTATGTAACAAGATTTACAAATGTTCGGTTTTGGATAAATACTCTGGATAAGTACATACATAGAAAAATTCAACGCCTTCCATTGTAGCCTCCGTGTTGTTTGAACATCGCTTTCAACAACGAGGATAAATTATGAAATCTCCGTATCATTTGTGCGAAAGGGTGAGAGCGGCAACAGTTCGTGCACCTTAGTCCGTAGAACTTTCTTCATATCGGATCTCGTCAAGTAGATGGGCATGTTTTCGCCAAACTCGGACATGAACTGCCTGCACACTCCGCATGGCGTGGTAAACGAAGTGTTTTCCTGATCAGCTACCACGGCTAACGCCGTGAACTTTCGCTTCCCCTCCGACACAGCCCGCGCGATTGCCGTGACCTCGGCGCACACGCCCGCCGGATAGGACGCATTCTCCACGTTACAGCCCCGTGAGATGCTACCGTCGACGCATCGTACCGCGGCACCGACCTTGAACTTACTGTATGGCGAGTACGCATTCTCACGCACCGCCGCGCTCTCCTTTATCAGCTCCTGAATTTCTCCGTCTGCAAAATGGTACATCCATCAGCCGGCATCGGTTTTTTGACATGTAAGAAATCTGTGGATTATCCTTAATAGTAGGTGTGAATCGTGTGAAGTAGGGAATTGTATATAAACGTATAATTAAAAATAACTCAATTTAATAATATGCAATAAACATTTCCAAGCGTAAAATGTAACTTTGTAACATATATGTAATTTAGATACGTGTTTATCAATTTGTTATTTAATTGTTTATCATATATCATACTTACACATTATGATATATGATATGTACGCGCGCACACACACACACACACACACACACACACATACACACACACAGAAGATGTTCCATTTCAAAGGATTCACTCAAATATCTCCGAAACACTGTGTTAAATCGAAAAATGTTTCAAACGAAAGTTTTTTACTTCAAGGAGGACATAAGATAGTACCATTGGTTTGTCCTTAAGTTGGCATCGAGGTCAGAGCAAAGTCACTTTGAATTTTTTAAACGGAACCCCGATTTTTCATTTCATATTCTTATAGCTTACCTCAAGAGCTTTTTAGAACAGTATAATAAACTATTTTTTCATTAAATACTTTTTGAGTTATAAGGCTTGAAAGTTACAGTACCGTCGGCATTAGAAAACATTACCCAAGGTGTCCGACCGACGAAACCTCTTAAATGTTGTTCGGAATCATGACCTGGATAACATTTGTCAAGCTCAAGGCTACTGGAGATTGTATCTCTTTTCAATTTTGCACTAAAAATTCATTTTTACGTATACGCACCTTGGGTAATGCTAATGCCAAAGGTACTGTAACTTTCAAGCTTTATAATTCAAAAAGTACTTAATGACAAAATAATTTATTCAAAGTTATCTTACCCTGATCTCGACAACGTCATCCAAGGTTAAACCAATGGTATTATAACTGTATTATATCCTACTCGAAGCAAAAAACTTTTATCTGAAATATTTCTCGTTTGACGCAGGGTTCCTGAGATATTTAGTGGATCCTTAAAAATGAGACACCCTATATATTATATATATAATGTTGCAAAACTGATGATAAATATTTTGTAGATAGATTCTTTGTAATATTTTAAGATGAAAAGTCTAGTATAAAAATGTCGAGGCTGTAATAGTTTTTTTTTTTTTTTTTTTTTTTTTTTTTAAATAGGAAGAGTTTAAAAATTACGAATGACGAGGCTAGAATTTTGCATGCCCAAGAATGGCAAAATGCTCAATGTGAAGGTGCTTCCTCGAACTTTATGTCTTTGACAATAACAAAATTCAACATTTTCACACTGCCATCTTGCCAATTCTGAGCACGCAAAATTCTAGCCCCGTCATTCATAATTTTTAAACTATTCCTATTTGAAAACTATTATAATTATAGCCTCCATTTTCGTATTAGACTTTTCGTTTTAAAATATTACAAAGAATCTGTCTTGAAATTATTTATCATCAGTTTTGGGACATCTTATATCTATAATATTTATTTACAGATACCACGAAATAAATTGAAACTATATGTAATCATATATGTATATAACAGTTTTTTATTTTTTTAATTAATTTTGTTATACCTATTCTTCTCGAAAAGGTTTTGAAATTTTACTCAAATAATATAATTTCAGCCATCACTGCAATTATAATTAATTATCCCGCGCTACGCGTCTCGTTCGATTTGATTGGTCGCTACCTTTGCGCGCGAAATCTCGCAGAATTTAATACGATATCGAGAAAACCAACGTTTCGTATGCATTCTGAAAACAATTTTAAACAAATAAGAACAATTTTTAACAGAGTTTTAAATATTAAATATAAGAAAAAACACATGGCCTATTTAAACGATTCACCGTGTCTTCAATTTGTTGAAAATGCATTTTTGTACGAATACTTGTAACCTCATAACTCGAATTGAACTGTAATAGATTTGATCACATAAAACATAAATAATTGTTGGTGGTATGACTTTCCGTGAAGAAAAAAGTGTGTATCTTTATATAACGATATTCCCGTTAATATTTGAACGTGAGATAGAGTCTCAATATTTACGACATGTATGAAATAAGTTGTGCAATTATTAATTAAATAATATTACGGGGGGGGGGGGGAAATTGTAAACTTGTTTCTTTGACAGTCTGGGAGTACACGGCGCAGTTTCGTTATCAGGGGACTTTTATTATCAAACTAACATCACAGACTGATTATCCATCACTTATCTCCCAGGGACTATCCCGAACGATTTTTCGATATTTATTAAAGCCAACGATTCTTAGACTGTAGCGAAAACACAATACTATGAGATAATAATAAGTTAAAAGATATTTAATTAATTTAAGAAGTTGAATATATTTAATTTTGCAATGTCTTTTCAATTTTTAAAATTTTCAAACTTGTAAATATCATTAATGTCTTTACACTTGACACGTTCGACTATTGCAATATACATATAAAAAAATGTCGAAATGCCTGATCTTTTATGTCTCCTTCGTCGATGTAATTTACATGTATATGTACGTACAATGGAAACAATTGTTGCATAAATTACATAAATTATAGCAATATTAAACAAATCACATTCGATTCTGTATGGGATATATGGTATAGTTTTTGGGCTATGTGTTAATTCGAAATTCGCTCAGCCGCGGCCGATGCTAAAGTCTATATAGTGCACGTAATGCAAACTTAACTGATATTATTACATATAGATTTCCGGTGCTCGCAGTGAATTTTCGAATTTACACCTTTTCACAACTGTCCCCGGAGCGCGAGCATACGTGATTTTCAACATATGGGAGTGAAAACAGAAGCGAGAATCGATATCGCGAGAGGTAACAAGAGACTTTTGGGGAACGCACTTTAGCGTACTTTATTTGATTTGACTTTATTGCGAAAGCGAGTCTTTACCGAGCGATGCGAAATCGATTATTTCCCAGATGCCCATTTCGCCAGGGTGCCGTTCCAGGATGCTAATAATGAAGGTTGCTGCGGGAGACGCAATGAAGATTGTGGCAGAACGATTGTGTAAGAATGAAGGAGATTGATGGTTTTTTCGCTCCTACGTCTTTTACAACCGTCCGACAACTTGTGAGTTGGACGACTGATCCCTCGCAGCCACCGGCGACTCGGGCGACTGGCGGTGACGACAAACGGCGACGTCGGCGACATGCGTTTATTGCCTTTACTCCGTTTACTCGTACAGCTGCTGATTCAGCACCGCTCAATTGTCCCATCTAACCTACCCTAATCTAACCTCACCTCACCTCACCTCGCGCCGGTTCGAACGCTAGCGGCTAACTTTCAAATCCTGTGAGACCAGCTGTGTCCTTAGTGCTCTCAACTTGTTGCACAGTTAGCTCATCTTTCTTTTAATTCACTCTGGAACTAAAGTGTAAAGCTAAAAAGACCAGACAGTTGAGATCAATCCAGTGTACTTAATTCCTTGTAATCGAGAATGGATTGAAATGCAGGATTCAGATTTTCAGAAATTCGCATTCGAAATATCAGCTTTTTCTGTGCATCATGAATACTGCTCAATTCAGAATTCCGAATAGGAAATGCAGTTTTTCAATTCAATTGAATCCAGTTGAATCGAAAAAAAGTTTTCGCTTTTATTTAAAACACGTATTCGGATAGATAAAATTTCTATCTATTTTAATCTCCATTCTCGTTTACTGCGGGTTAGGGTTGGTAGCGCAATTTATATAGACATATATATCGCAGCTGGAACATGTATATGTACTCGTACGTATTATGTATACACAGGACTGTCGATGCTCTATAACAATTGAAATAAATTTAGACGCTTATGGGTTAATTAACAATTAATATGGGTAAAGCTCGATCCTGTTTTTCTTTGAAGAAAGTTTGCAGTAAAATTGCACAAAGGGCCTATTTTTTTCTCAGCTAAACACACTTCTTGTACAGTTTATATTTTCTCTCTTTTTCTTTTTCTTCAATGTGAAGAAAAAAGAAGGAAAGCGAAAAAAATATTTAGCTAAACATGTGTTCCGACATGTGCGTGTAAATTAATTCAGACGTTCGTAGAAAAATGTAACGTGCGCGCAAGTGTACCAGGAAAATGGCACCTGTAGTTAATTCTTAATGGCAAATTATAATTTTACTCACTTTTTCATGTTGATATTATGTTTCATGTTATATATGTCGACATAATATTCGGTAATATTAATAAATGTCACGTTTAAATATCATTTATCGATTGCGTTTCTCTTGATTCGTTGATACTTGATACTGCAGTCGCATGCAGTCTCTAGCATGCAGTTGCGCATTTAAAAATAAGGTGAGCGAGTCGATAATCGAAGTAGATTTATCGATGCGCGCGCGGGAAAATTCAGTTCGCCGTTGTCAACGAAGAAAAAAAGAGGTAACGAACACATCAGTAAGTGTTGGAAATTTTTATCAAATATCGTATCTAATAACGTATAATAAATCTTGGGCTGTGGTCAAAGTCTCGCTAGAAATGCTTTCAAGTATTTGATGGGCCAATTAGAAGAAAGAATTTTACAAATTGACCAATTAAAAAACGCTTTAAAGCGTTTGCAGCATCGCGTTGACCGTACCCTTCATCATCACAGATTTATTATTCTCACAATTAAATTATAAATGAAATAAGACAAATTTCGCGCTCATCGCGCTGACCTATATTATATATATATATATATATATATATACATATATGTATACACATAATATCTGCATCTCTGCCGAATTGTGTAAGTCGTCGAAAATGGATTTATATCTCTCGCACATAAGGTAGGCTTGTCACATGTCAAATTATTCGATCCTTGTCCTGAATTATAGATCGTCTAGAATGGACTTGGGGTATACTCCCACTCCCACTCACTGATAGATGCGACAGAGAGAGAGAGAGAAGGAGGGAGAGGTGAGAGAGCGCGAAGCGAACGGCGAAGAAGAGAAGTGAGAAGGACGGAAGGAAGTAGAGAGCGCGTGTCACGGCGTGTCGACGCGTCGGTTGCTCAGCTGTTTTCAACGAGACTGGTCGAGACTGGTCGAGGAGAGCAGAGGAGAGTCGAGACTGTCGAGAGAGACGACGCATCACGTAGACACCGTAGACGGCATCACGGCATTCACGGCATCACGACACGGCAGAGCCAGAACGAAGTGACCAATCCGTCAGCCGTCAGTCCATCAGTCCCATCAGTCCCATCACCGACCGACTCATTGTCTGCTCGCATTGTCAGGTCAGATCGACTCGCGGACCTCAAGATTCAAAACCTCAGACGGCGGACCTGTTCTGACTCTTCGTAGAGACAGACCGACTCGGGCCGATTCAGGCCGTGACTCGAGACTCGACGCGAGAGCACTGCATCCACGTCCAAACGCAAACAGATGTGGAGTGACTGTCCAGATCTCTGACATTGACGTATCTCGGCCACGAGTGGCCACAACACGCCGTCGAGCACGATACCTACTCCCCTTTGCGTGAACGCTGAACGCGACAGCGAGGAAGAGGCGCGTGGCCGCCGTAGTAGTGTAGATCACCGACACCATCCGAGCCAGTTCCGGATCCGGACCGGACCGGACGGGAAGCAGATTACAGAGCGGGCGGATTATCGAGATCGAGGGGATAAAGAGCGATCGCCATGAGCGAGCTCAGCCAGGAAGAAGTGAGTAAAGGAAAGCGTGTGCTTCCTCCCCCCTTGCCTCGCCTATCTTCCTCCTCATCCAGTGATCCTTTCTTCTCTCGCCCAATATTCCCTCTGCTCCGAGCGTTGTTTGTTGTGTGTGTGTGTGTATTTCCCGCGCATACTTATCCGCGATTTCTTGTCAAGCGAGACCCACGCTCTCGTGTCCGTGCCGTACCGTGCAGCACTTTTCTCATCTTTTCCATCCACTTCTCTTCCCTCGAAAAATCATGAATTCACATGTACTTTTTCTTTAATTTTTAGACGAGTCATGAAGGACAAGTCCATTGTTTGCGCGCGCGATTTCGAGAGAGAGACTTGAAAATTGCTAAGGAAATTGCATTTTTCCTTGTTGGGTTATATATTGTTTTCTTTGTCAACCCGCCACGTATAAAACGAAGCGACTCACACGCTTGCAAATCAACTACTTATATAATGGACGCTATGTAAATTAAACTTGCGCTTTAATTTAAAGAAAACTTGACGCGACATTTGTCAACGTGGTTATTCTAATATTTAAATGATCCAAACATTCCAGACGCTTTGCAGGAACAATTGTTTACTACTTGATGATTCCTCTATTTTCGTAATCGCGACGATAGAGTTCTGTTTGCTTCCTATCCACCTATCCTCTCTATTCCATATTATTTCCTTTCGTATACTTAACTGCTTTGTCTGCTTTGTTTCTAGCAAGATATTTTGGCTGCAGAAATTTATGCGAGTAATGAAATTGTGATTTCTCAACAAATATATATATTACATGACTTTCCATTTCATTCTTTGAGATTCATATCTCGGAATAATAATATAAGTCTCTATTCAACAAGAGACTTATCATTCTTTGCGCATAGAAGGCAAAGTAAGGATTTTGAGATTATTTCACCCGCTTAATTTTCTAAATCTGGGCCCAAGTATGCCGTGTCTATGTAATAGGTATCTGTACAGTACAGGATACATCTCCACTTTGTTTACTATACTACCTCCTATACGCAAAGAATGATAAACCTCTCGTTGAAGAGGTTTACAGAGTATAGTATCGAAGAAATGACATTTCTATCTATATTATTACATCGCTTAAAATATAATGTGGACTTTGTAGCTTCTGTTCTCTTTATTGTCGCGAGCTGTGGTAAACCAATAGATAAAAATAGCTTATGAGTAACAAAAACATTTCAGTCTCTTTTAAGCAACCTTTGACAGAGTAGTCCTCACTAAACAGAGCTCACAACACAACTCCTTTGTCTCACTTTTGCTGTAGATGAGAAGAAGGCGATTAGCCCGACTAGAAGGCTTCAACAATAATAATGCAACTGCCAGTTCGTCTAATGCTATTGCTCCGACTTCCCCGAGTACTTCGGAGCTATCAAAAGCATTCCCAGGATCAATATCTCCGTCTATTCAACAACAATTACAGCGTACTGAGATACCAATGGAAGTAGAAGAGAGCAACGATAAACAATGTAATATTACCGAATTGGATAATTCGGGAATTGAAAGCATGGAAGTTGACGAATCTGATAGGAAAGATTCGATACCACGATCGCGTGTAAGTATTTACTTTACTTAATAAAACAACCGTACATGTATTAATAAACAACAAAAAGAATCTGTTTTTTTTTCTTCTTCTAATGTAATGAAAATAGATTATTCATTATTTTGATCTATATTTGTCTCTGTTGTATTTTAGACGACAAGCTCTAGCATAGAAGTTACAACAGATCACATACATGTTGTCATATCACGCGTCTTGCGCATATCGTGGAAAAGCTCCGTTGAAGGAACTATATTCTTACCACAAACAGCAGCGTACACGCTGAAACAGAAACAGCTAGATTTTAGTGAAATTATTAATCAGGCCTTGATGGAGATTTTGTGTATGTTCTCGAAAGGGGAAGATCTTTTGAACGATATCACGATAGATATGTCATCCGATCGACAGGACAGTCCGAATAACCAAGCGAGTCCTCTGCTAAGTCCTGTCATGGCTCTTCCGTCTTACCAATTACCGACTATGCCATTACCCATAGGCAGCAAATCGTCGCAACCCAGAAGTTTAACTTACTTGTTAAACTGCTATTCAAGAATCGCAATAGAGGAAAGAAATCATCCAAAGGTATAGGTATACATATTTTAAAAACTGGATGAGATTTTATTAAACCTATTGATTTCTCTTTGACTGACGCTTAGGCACATGTTTTAGCGATCCAGCATACCTCCTCTTTCCAATGTACTGACGGTATTGAAAACGCAATGTGTTCAGTACTCCAGCCTCGTTCTACAAGGATTGGTTGGCATTTGTGAAGCTTCGGTTATTCCTATGTGTACCACTTATCTTCTCTACCCGATACTGTCACAAAGTTTACCTCGAGGATACCTTCACGAGCTCGTAGCTAAGACACACACGAATTCAAGCACGTTCAATAAGATATTCACCCCGGTCTTGCAAGGCCTGTATCTATCAATGCAACAGGCGAGCTTGGTTGGCAATACACACAGAAGACCGATCGAGGCGCTAGAGG